CTGTATGTGGGATCCGAACCCTCGGGGGAAGCGCCGCCGCGCTTCCCAAGCGGCGCACTGTAGCAGTGTGCCACCGGGCCGGCCCCGAAACACTTCTGATCCCAAGCATTTTAGATAAGGGATATTCAAATGCAGTAGGCTTAGAAAAAGGCCAGACTCCAAAGGCTGTATGATCCCATTTATACGATATTCTGGAAGAGGCAAGACTATAAGGAATGGAAGACATCTCAGTGGCTGCCAGGGGTATGGACTACACATAGGCATGAGGGACCTCTTTGGGGTGATGGAAATGTTCTGTCTTAGTTATGGTGGTGTTTACATGACCAAGTGTATTTGCCAAAATTTGTGTAACTATATACCTAAAAAGAGTGAATTTTACTATTCTAAGGTATAAGTTACACCCCAATTAAAAAAAAAACAAACACAAAAACCAAGCTTATCCAAGGGCTAGAATAGATTTTCAATGAAATGTGAAAGAAAAATTCCACCCTCCAGACCCTTCCCTGATGCAGTGTGGGGTCAGAGATCATCCCTGGTGCCTCCTGGGACTGGTAGATATGAGTGGAAGCCGTTTGCTCCGGGCCCTTCTCTCTTAGGGTCGCCAGGGCTCCATCCTCTCAACCTCTCATACAGGGTACACTGGGTGATCTCTCTCGGGTGTTTGTCCCGTGGGGCCCACTGCGTGTGGGTTGCTTCTGAATTTCACTCATTTACACGTCTGAGCATTCAGCAGCATGAACTTAGGGCCACTCTGGGCCAGGCATTGTGCTAGGGGCAGGGCATGGAGGTCCAGAAGACGGGTACCACCCTGCCCTCGTGGAGCCTCCAGCCTGCTGGAGAAGACAGGCACAGACAAGTGGGATGGAGAAGAAGGGCAGTGCTCTGGGTGGATGCAACCTGCAACCTATTTTGGGTGTCTGGGCACAGCTTCCCGGGGGAAACGACTGAGAGCTGAAGGCCGAGTGGGTTGAACTGCAAGTGGACTTGGCTGGTGCTGAGCAGCGTTTACCGGGGGAGAAGAGAGATTGCTGGGGAAGGGGACAGCATGTGCGAGGACCCTGAGGAAAGAGAGGTCATGGTGGGACAGCCAACCTGAAAGATGCCCCACTGTGACTGGAGCCTGCAGGGAATGGGGAGTGGACAGCAGGCAGGGCCAGGCTGTTGGCCCACGGTGGGCCATGGAAAGGATTGGGGGCTTGAGCTTTTGCTTCCTTTGGTAGAATATGTTTTGTGAATAGTTTTTTTTTTTTTTAAAGAACAATTTACATTTACAGAAAAATCGAGAAGATTGCATAGAAAGTTCCCATTTATCCAAGTACATTGTTTCCTCTGTTAAGATCTTAACAATAGTATGGCGGTATTACTGGGGCCACTCAGCTTGTGGCTGGGTTTGCTAAAATTTGTTACCAGGCACACAGGTCCAGCTGCCCGCCCCCTTTTAAAAACAAACCACCCCAAAGTCAAATGTTGGTGAAAATGGAAGTCAGCTTTTATTCAGGAGATGACTTGAGCAGAGAGGTTAGGCTGACGCATCTCTCCGGTAAACCTGAAGGAAATGGCCAGACTAAAGCCATCTCCAAGACTCAGATTTACCGAGGGGTTTTTAAAGACAGAGCCAAGGGAGTGGAATGTGGGAAATGAACAACAGGAAGGAAGGGGACATGAGCTGTGAAGGCTTCATGCAAGGTCTCAGGTGCAAGGTCTCTCAAGACTCCGTCCAGTTTCTGCTTGCATCCTTGGTGTTGTCTCGTAGTCCTGCTGGATAGCATGTGCCTCGTTGCAAGTCTGCAGCTTCAGGCTGATTGGAAAACTTTACATTCATGCAAGTAATGTCATCTTGCCTCATAAGCAAGGTTCAAAATATGAAATAACCATGGGAAAAAATGGAACTCAAAGAGATACATGCCAAGAAAAAAAACTGTGTCCTTTTAAAAATCTTTTAGAGCCCATGTGGTTTTAAGTCCCAGCATGGCTTCAGTCCTGCTCACTCCAGCAGTAATTTGGTAGAATTAATGAACCACATTGATACATTATTATTAACTAAAGCCCATTGCTTATTCAGATTTCTTTAGTTTTTCTCTAATGTCCTTTTTTCTGGTCCAGGATCCCATCCAGGACGCCACGTTGAGTTTAGTCTTCTCTTGGTTGTAAGAGTTTCTCAGACGTTCCTTGTTTCTGATGACCTGGACAGTCTGGAGGAGCACCGGTTAGGTAGTTTGTAGGGTGCCCCTCTGCTGGGATTTGCCCAATGTTCTTCTCCTGATTAGACTCAGATTATGGCTTTTTGGGCAGGCAGACCACAGAGATGAAGTGTCACTTTCATCGCATCATGTCAGGGGTATGTACCATCAACATGGCTTATCACGGTTGATGTTGACCTTGACTGCTTGGCTGACGTCGTATTTTTGGGGTTTCTCCCTGTGAAGTTACTCTTTTCCCCTTTTCCATACTGTACTCTTTGGAAGGAAGTCACTACGTGCAGCTGCACTGAAGGGGTGGAGAGTTAGCCTC